GGGTTCTTTATTCGAAGTTTTAATTTTTGGATCATGTGTCAAACTTTCAAATTGCCATGGATGTGCCATGGATGAAAGTTCAGGGAATTGTTTTCCGCAGCAAGGGAACAATTCGTGATAAGTGATATAAACAGTGATAGTAGTTTTGAGTAACACTTCTGAAACATTTCGGAATATTTCGGCAACGAATTTGATGAGCACTCATGCAGCTGATCAGCCCTACTCATGTTGTTATGTGCTCAGAAATCATCAGTTCAACAGATATCCGTTAGGTGATTCAAAGAAAATAATGTGATATTTCGTTATTATCATTCATAATTTGTATATAAATGGGTTTAATTCTTCAATGAAATAAATAAATTTTGATTTTTCCAATCAATTTCTCATTGCATTACGCTATCATTAATCATCGCCGACCCAATACAGGTTCATCGCTTTGACATTTTCCTTTGACCTCATAGAACGGTGGACAGCAGCTTGGTTGAGTGCATTCTGCGGCTTCTTTATCCAACACACTGAAATCTTTCCGAATGTTTTCATCGATTCTGAATTGAGATTCTAATGTCCTCGTAAATATTTTTCAGAAATGCGATCTCCTCAACAAGAGAAAAATTCATTTGTTGGAAAGACGGCAAAGGAGAGAAGAAACTTTTGAAGAAGAAGAAGAAGAAGAATGAAATGAGAATCGCACCCTTTACAACCAGGTTTGTCGGCGCATTGTCGCAGACGTTGTTTGAGTTTCGCACACTTTGGATCAACTTTACAAACGTGAAGATTACACGATTGAAATTCTTGATTTTTTCCTCTGAAATAACACAAAAAAATCCATAAATAATCGCACAAGAAAAGCATAAATTCAGTGAATCTTATCGTAGCAATTAAGAGTTGAATGTTGTTGAAATGGAGAGTGATAATGGTAACAATACAAGTTGAAGCAACAAGTGCATAAACGGACATGCATTCAGCAGTTTTGCATATTCGAATTCTCGACTGTATACCACAACCACCACACGGTTTCGAGCACTCCGACCATGTGCCCCAATCAGCCCATATGTTGCTACCAGCCACGGTTGTTGGTGGAACTGGAACACAACAAAACGAGATTGAAATTTACGAAATAGGCTCGGAAATTTCGTTGCGCATCTCATTAACACAACAACACTCATGAAGATACTGTTCACTGATATATAAAAAATTAACAAAGCATAATTTATCAGATTCTACTCATAACTAGATATCAGAGAATCATTCGCGCAATGTCATTTCTCGAAATATTTTAATTTAAATTTTTATCTTCGTCAACAGTGATTTCTGGGTCAGTATTTTGTGTGCATTGTTCATCTTTCAAATGGATCAAAGAAACGAGAAAGTATCATATCGGTAATTGCATTTGAGTGAATTTCATAAGGAATACCTGTCGTTGTTCGTTTTGGTGTTGCAGCTATCTTACGTGCGGGTTTTGATGCTAAAATCAACTGAGCTTCGAATGATTTAGTATAGACTGATTATAAATTTGATATAAAAATGATGGAATATTTCAATAGGATAAATTAATCTCAATGAATGATGATAGGAAGCAAACAGTGGTTAAAAAAGGATCAGATCGATGATATGGATGCCAGATAGTGAAGATAAATTGGAATGTTGAACCGACTTTCTCGGAAACGTAACTTGAAGCCAGCACCCTCGCCGAGTGTCGCTCGAAAGATTACGATTGCTTGATTGAGTGCTGACACGACCGTTTGTTTGGGATGCTCAGGGCAACAGAATCTGCAACCTTGATAATCTCAGAATATCTCTTAGGCTGTCAAACGATTGACTGTTCATTCAGGCTGAAATCACCATCGATACTGAAGAAATTCGAATGAGGAGCAAAACTTTCACTGAAATGCCTCATTCAAAATTGCATCACGTAAACTAACCTGAAACCAGTATTTCGGAGATCCTTTCCTATCTTCCATTCGACGTAATCAACGCAAGTTATTGCGCAAAATATATCGAAATCTTCGACGAATTCCATTTCAATTCGTTTATCTGATATTGATTTTTAAAAGGGTTATTGCACATGAGAATGCTTCACTTTGAACACTTTGAATTCATGATCAGATTTTAGCTTGAGATCACTTACTATTCTCGCAAATCTACCATCAGAAAACTTCTCTGAATCAAATCTCAAAGCTGATAAAAAGCAGTAATGTTGCAATATATCTGAATCTTCATAAGAGATTAATTGTGAAGTAACTTCAGAGAACAAGCGAATTCGTTTGTAGTCCTCGAAAATTTTCCCCAAAATGGACAGTACATAGAGCGCGTTAAACCTTTATCAGTTTGGATTAGCCAACTGCACTTTTGTCCAATCTCATAACCCGGATCGGGGTACCCTGGTGATTCTATCGTTTGCCAATCGCCCTTCGCTTTCAACACTCCACCACAATCGGCTTCTGGAATCATTATTCAACAAATTTATATTGCCGTCAGAGATGAAAATTCAGTGATTCATCACGGGTCATTTGGGGCAATCGTGACGAGTATATGGCGAGAATCGTACGAATCCATTGCAAATGCGAAAACCTATGAAAAGCAAATGCGATTTTCCATTAGAACACATTCGAAATCACTTTGACTCACCGAGCGATTTTTCATTCTTCTCACAAGTTTCACCACCAAAACCAGTCGGACAAAGGCATTTCAAGCAATTGCTCGGATTCATGTAGCCACCATTTTTGCATTTGTTCTTACCCTTGCACTTATCTGAAACTGATCATATCATTAGTGCTTCAATGGTGATCATTGTTGCTATCAATAATGTGAAGATCAATGATAACCGTCTAATGTGGTTGCTTCATGACACAAGTGAAATTTTGATAGAATTATGAAACGTCCTAGTGTGGAATTATGCGATGGAATGAATACCTTTGCAGTATGCTTCGTTAATAATCTTCACATCAAAAAATGATAATTCCTCACGTTGTCCAATCGTTGTTTGGTAGAATGGATCTCTAAAATTTTCGTAAATTCACTTGATCATTCCGCAGATCACACATGGTCATTCAACTGCTTTTTTTACTTCTTTATTATCGATTTCTGTGGATTTTTTTTACGAATATGATCGAGAGATAACTCTTATGTTCTATAATCTCGGCAGGCAGATATGATCTCAATGAATAGCATAATCATGCCCCACAAAACTGCTCTACGATTTTAATCGCCAGTATCACGTCGTGAAATTCATCTAAATTCAGAAATGGAATCAAACTTTTTCAATCAACCTTTCATTCCGTAATCCTTCTGTTCTTATGAAGTTTGAATGATTCTCTTTAAAAAGACTGAAATTTTGCAAGCCGTCATCTGAGTTTTACATTAGCATCGTTCTCATCACGAGCACCGCTCGATGTTATCAACCCGTCCCGGCTCACTCACCTTGTCAACAAAGTTTTACTCTTTTGATCAGCACTGAAT